GTTTAAAAATGCCTTTTTCTTAATGTCTTTTATTATTATTAACTACTTGTTACTTGTTGCTAGGGACGCTGCTATCGATATTATTTATGTTATTGTGACCTGCCCCACCGGGGAGGGGGGGGCTGCGATAATAAAAGGGGGTTAGGATACTTAACGCTAACCTGGGTTCCCCAATACGAGCCCTTAGGACAAGTCACGCAGATAAGAATAAAAGGATGGGCAGGGACGCGGCCTCAAGTTCAAATGTTTACAAACGTTTATTATATAAATAATCAAGTAAAAGTTCAGTAGTACAAAATGCAGATTAAAACTTATTCAGCTTTCTCAGTCGACACACATAAGTCCCACGATTGAAGGCTGGCTCTGACAAGGAGAGAATAACTATAATAATTACAATATCACACATAATGATAGTTAAAAAATGATTCTTCTGGCCAACTGCTGAGGGTTTCCCCAAAACCACAATATCACCACGTGTAGCTGTATTCAATCAAACACTCACTACAAATCAACCATATCTGCATGCAAAAAGTGCCCAGCAAACCACATGCTCTACTCCACAGTATGGCCAGGATCGTCACTGAAGAAGTATAAGCACAGAGACAGTATTAGACCTTGTGGGACAGAGTGGGTCGTTACAATGAGGGTGCTGTCGCTTTAAAGATTAAATCACTAGTTTGTACACAATACAACAAACTAGTCAATAAGCAAAACGGTAGCAAACTAATCCTAAAATAAATGGAGAAAGGAGATTAGAAATGTATAAAGACTTATATGAATGTCCTTCAGTGTACATACAATTAATCTCCTACCTCTGATGCAAACGCATTCACTCAATTAGCACCTCACTGGACACCTCTGCAACGGTGATTCTCTGCACAGTCTCTGCTGGGGCTGTCAAGAAGCCTGGCATTTACAGGCCACATGTTAACAATTCAGTGGTAGGCCTACACTGAATGTTACAAATCCTAACAGCAGCTTCACATACCTCGTATAGGGGGAATACACGCCTATCAGCCAGACAACGATAACTGGAACAAGAACACTCGTAATAGTCACAGCTGATTTGGGTGAGGAGTGAGTGGGCATTTAAAGTGTAGCGGGAGATGCTGAACTACATACAGCTGCGCGTTTTCCTTATATGGAAGGGCCAGCTGACTAAAGAAGGGGGGGGGGGGTGTCTTAAAGGGCCAGCCACGTGAAGAAATGATCTGACAGCTAATCCTCAGAAAACAGTAGCGCCGGCTACATTATGTTGTGTAACTGTTTAATGGTGTTATCTTTATTGCTACCCCCTTCCCCGTCAATGTATAGTGTTGGTCCACAACGCAAACGTATTAGTTTAACAAAATCCGCATATAAAATGGTGGCATAGATAGCCTACGTTATTTTCCCCTGTGCAATTCTCCATTTACTCAACAATAACACCTTATTATCCTTGTGTTTATTTATTTGTTTGATTAATAAACACAAGTTGGAGTCCGTCAGGACCGAGGGTCGGAGCAGCTCATTTGCTTTAGAGAATATTTGGGAAGTAAGTATTCTCTCCGCTTCGCTTGACAAACCCTGTGATAGTCCTCAAGCTCTGTGATTGGAGAGTGTGCTCCGAGGGTTACGCCGAGCGTCGAACAGCACTTGAAATGGGATGGAACCACGGCAGACTGTTCAAAACTGGATTTGAACGGGTCCACCGCGTCCCCCCCTCCCCCACCCCGTCCCCAGAACTACACATGCTGGCTATTGTGTTTCGCAACATGTTCTTTATCTATGGCACGTCTCTACTGGGAGTTGTCGTTTTAAAAGACGTTTTCGTATTTCCCATAATAAGAAGTTGCCAGTATTAAACTGTGTACATCCCTGGAGGTTTAGGGGATAGGAAACACTCAAATGTAAAACATATAATTCATAAATGGGTGAAAATTGCTTGTGCCCATAATGGGCAGCATTAATATATACCCACATGCCAGCTAAGGTCAGAAGAGCTTTATTTAACAGCTGCTCTTATGTTTGTGACCCCTCCTATTGTTAATTGATAACATTACATTACATTAATTGATAAGCCTGAAACATGCACTTGTCAAGGTTCAGAGGCAAATTTTGCAAATATGGCAGTAGCCATCGATCAGCTTAAGATAAGATATACTTTATTGATCCCAAGTTAGAAACATTTGCGTTACATCAGCATGTGTAACAGTTGTAAATATGCAGTGGTGTTTATTTACATCATTTAGTATAATCACACAAATTCTGTGTTTTATATTTAACAATTCTGTGTTCTTTATTTATTGATTGTTCAATACCTGACAAGGTCGGAGATTAAATATCTACATACATCTTATAAGAGTATACTACATATGTATAATATCAGTTAAAATAAGTGCTTCAACATGGTTAACATTGCTGGAGGTATGCACAAATATTGATAGATGTTTTGTAATGCACTATTGAGGAACCTGCGACCCAAGTTTTTCATTCAATGCATAACTACACCGTTTGTGAATATGATATGTCAATAAACCTTAGAAAATCTTGAAATCTTGAAAGGGATGTGCAAAATAGTCATTATATACAGTCTTTAATTAACTATTAGTAGAGAATAACGAGTAATGAATATACTTTATAGGGATCCTATTAATATCTAATAATAAAAATAATGAAATTCAATAACATGCTTTAACCACTAGGTGTCCCTTTATATCAAATGTGCACCTTTATGGTGTAAATACAGCTTATCTCCCAATCGGATCAAATATAAAAGTCAGCCGAATTAGTGTTGATACTGCAAGGAGACGTATTGTGTGAAAAGAAATGTAAGATGTTGTTTAACTACTGATATATTTATGATCCACGTCACGTATTCAGTGTTGGCGGCAGTTCCTCATGTTTGTCCAGAAGTTTTCTCATCAGGGCTCTATAAATAGAGAACTACGGCATATGTAATATTTAATGCAGCCAAACCATGTATTACAATGCCGTTATGTGATGACTTTCAAAGAGCAAGCGAGATGTAATCCGAAGACATGCAGCGATTTCTTCGGTCGTTAATTCAGAAAAAAAACCTAGTGCGCTCTGCCAAGTTAGCTAGCTGTTTATATTTGCACTTCCAGGATATTTGCACCTCCATGAAAATGGTGTATTTATATATATATATATGGCGCGTGTTGCATTGTGGGTAGCTCGTGACGTCACTGTGTGTGAAAGAATAGCTGGGGATTCTGGGTAGTATAGTGTCTTCTGCCATCCTTTACTCCGAAAAAATATTTGTTTCTCCGAATCAAAGGGGAAAAATACAAAAGCATTGCACACAATTTAAACCAATCAATGTTGTGTAATTAACAAGGATAATCTGGTGTTTTTTAGTCGATGAGTAGTTCAGATATCACTGTAAAAATCAATCGACAGTAAGGGGAATACTTACTTCCGGGTGTACAATTCTCCGTTATCCAATGGGAATGGACGCTCACATTGCCTTTAAGGGCAGCCGACACAAACGAATGCCTTGCTTCCATGAGCGTCAAATCCCGCCGCAGATGGGAATACATTGCAATCAGTTGAAAGCTATTTGCGTCCCTTTATGAAGCTGAAGGAGCCTAGGAGCGTCACAACTGCACGCCACGGACACTGACCAAACGTCGCTCCTGGACGATTATGGAGTGAGAGTGTGTTGATCTGGCGCCCGCAGCTCACAGCCAAAGTGCGAGTGAGCGTGGGAGAGAGGGTGGGTGCACCGGTACCGGCGCTGTTGTTATTAGAATCTGGTGCTAGCTGCTCTAACGGATATAAGAAGAAGATGTGTCTACAATAATGTGGAGGGAGAGTTCTCTCCAGTCAGACTGAGAGGCTGATACTACAGCTCAGTGAGGTAAAGGACTCTCAGTGTTTAGATAGTTCACTTTAGTCTAAGTTCAAACGGTTTGGTCACAATTTATGTAAACACATATTTCCAAGGCACTCCTTTATAATTATTGGGATAAACAGGTGTGAAATCATTCCAATGTATACTATAGGACAGTAACCAAAAATATCCTTTAAAACTGGAGAGATAACAAAAAATGCATAAATAAATAAATGTTAAGATAAAATAAGATATGAATGAACAACACAAATAAAATAAGTTTCATTTGTTATTGGCTATAGGTTATTGGTTATGTTCACATACTTATTTGATTACATCCACTTGTCTAAGATGACAACAGAGACTTTCGACCCAAACCCAGCTGTTGACTTGTGGATGCAAGTAGCTAATTGCAGACTCAACCAGAGAGGAAGTAGTAGGCCTACATCATCAGCTACCATGTCAGACAGAGAGGAAGACAGTGAGGAGAACAGTCAGGAGGGTAGTGATGACAGCTTGTAGGATTACTGGTCGTGCTAATGTTGTCTTGTGTTCACCTCTGCATGTGTGTTCAGTGCCGTGTGTCTGGCAAATAAAGTCAAGACCCCCTCAAAAGTTATGGTGTATTTCATTTTAATGATGACCACCAAGCCACATCTCCAGGTGCTCCTTTGAGAACCAGGGCAAAAAAGTTATGTGCACCCCTGGATATACAGCTGCTAGCTGTTCCCCCCAGCCTTGATGCTAAGCTAAACAAAGCTAACCAACTCCTTGCTCCAGCTTCATATTTACCCTATCAGAGTGGTATTAACTCTTGGTAAGATTTTCTAATATCTTGAACTTTTGTGCTTTGAAAGTGATGTTTTTATGTATGATGGCGTGAATGCAGCAGCAGCAATGCTCTCAGTATCCAAAGTATCTTGTTATGTGTATTTATTATCCGTCATTTGGCCACAATTCATACAAGACGACCTCTTGAGTAGACCAAGTTCCTATAAACTCTGCCCTTCAGTTAGCCTAACCATAACCCTGTACATGATGGGGCACCCTTTTTAGTTTTTATGAGTGGCTTTGAGTGAGTCATCCTACACCACTGCTACACAAAGCATTCGTCCTGCTGCATTAAACAACATTCACCATTCGTCTCCCTGTCATACTCCAACAGAAGAAAGACGTGCACATGCTGCGATTCATCCAGGAAGTCAACACCACCACACGCTCCTGTGCATTATGGGACTTGGAGGAAGAGACAGACTACATTGTGCATGTCCAGTCCATCAGCATGTCTGGGTCGAGCCCGCTGAGCGAACCCCTGCGCTTCCGAACACCCAAGGAGGCCGAGACCCAGGCCTCTAAGAGTAAAGGTAAAGTGGCACACACCAATGCCATTCATCAAACACACACATACTTAAAGGGAAACAAGTGTGAACTTCCTCTCTCTGTGTCCGTCCCTTTTCAAGACAGCAAGTGCAGAGGGGACTTGGCCTTTTGACAATATCTTGACTGATTTTGTCTAAAGAGCAATACAAATCAATAGACACGCAAAGCGTGAAATGAAATGTCACAACAGTGTGCTCCCGAAACTCGCATCTGCTGACCACAACTCAGGAATAAAGCTGCAGAGGGAGGTCCATACTTCACTGTGTATTGACGTGCCTATGCAGGCCTCACCCTGCATGCACCAGCACAACTGCACAGTAAACTAAAATGAGGAAAGGCATTTATTGGACACAGAGAGGAGGCAGTCGGATCTGCGTGGGGTGGCAAATCAATGTGCTTTTGGCTGAACCCTGCTCCATCTAGTCTTCCTCTCATTTACACTCATCTCTCATGTGAGCCATACTTCGATACTTCCCGGAAAGAGTGTGAACTTCTGTTTTGGTCGACAGAGGTCTGGCACTGCAGGAGACATGTAGAATATAAATACAATCAATGCAGAGCACTGAAGACGTGCTCAGTTCACCACTGAGGCCTAATTAGCACAGAAAGTGTTGTCTGCGTGTTGCTTCTGTGAGGGGAAGATTTGACAGAAATCAATAACTGCAAGGAACCCAGATACACATAATTATTTTTGGATTTGATCCTTTTGTGTACATGCTTGTATCCTTTCCCTCTCCTGCTGTCTTTTAAAGCCGTGGAGACAGAACAGTGCCGGGAGACCAACTCAAACACCATGTACAGAAACAAAGAGAAGTGTCTCATGAACACAACACACAAAGATACACACATATAGTTGTATCAGAGTTGGTAATAAAAAAAATGTATGAGGGACGGTGGCAAAAGGAAAATAGTACACTCCTTATAGAAAGAGTTGGACATTTCTGCTTCATAGGATGCCGATTGACAGATGGTGTTACCATAGACCCAGACTAGCTGATTCCAGTCTTTATGTTAAGCTAAATTAACAGCTAGTTTTGTTTTCCCTTAGATTGAAGCATGATAGCTGCTTCCAATCTTTACTCTAAGCTATGTTAAGCTAACCCTACAAACATGAGAGTAGTTTAAATCATAATAAGCCTATTCCCCAGAAATATAAGTTTTTTTCTTTTAAAATTAGCAGAGGGCTTTTTGAGGAAACCACTCTCTGCCTCAATGCACTTGTCCATTTCATAAAAATGTATGATCCCAATCAGAAAAGGCTATCCAATGCAGAGCAAGGAGACAACCTCACTCTTCCTCACATTTTACTACATGCACACGTCTCCACAGAGAGCAGTCTGAGATGTAACATCCTTCAATGTAACATACTGGTTTATAAAGCTTTGAATGGTTTAGGCCCAAAATACATTTCTGACCTCCTGCTAAATTATGAACCATCCAGATCTCTCAGGTCTTCAGGGACTGGTCAGCTTTCTGTCCCCAGAGTCAGAACTAAACATGGTAAAGCAGCGTTCAGTTATTATGCTCTAAATATCTGGAACAAACTCCCAGAAACCTGCCGGTCCGCTGCAACTCTGACTACTTTTAAATCCAGGCTGAAGACTTTTCTTTTTGTCGCTGCTTTTAATTGAAACTGAGCCGTTGTGTTCATCAGTAAAGTGGAACTTCTGTGTGAACTATTCATATCTTAAACTGCACTGTAACTTTTATTCATGTATTTTTTCTTTTAATGTTTCTTTTATTATCTTTTACTGTTTTTAAATGCCTTTGTCTGAATATCTTTCATTTTTGTAAAGCACCTTGAAGGCTGGCCACAATAAAAGGCCACTCTAAAATGTAAAATAAACTGCACGTTTCAGAGTGGCCTTTTATTGTGGCCAGCCTAAGGCACACCTGTGCAATAATCATGCTGTCTAATCAGCATCTTGATATGCCACACCTGTGAGGTGGGATGGATTATCTCGGCAAAGGAGAAGTGCTCACTATCACAGATGTTTTCAGATTTGTGAACAATATTTGAGAGAAATGGTTATTTTGTGTATATAGAAAATGTTTTAGATCTTTGAGTTCATCTCATGAAAAATGGGAGCAAAAACAAAAGTGTTGCGTTTATATTTTTGTTCAATTTCATATAACTTGCTCATTATTCCACAAAATGGTGACAGCAAAAGCGTTTAATGGTTATTGAAAATGACTGCTTCACAAAAGGAGGCAGAAAGAGAGGAATCAAGTTTGTCTCTTACTGCAGATAATTGCAGGGATAAAGAGAGTTTCTCAGTACAGCTGTTAGGCCATTTTCCTGATATGACAGGCGAACTATCACAGAAGAAAGGCACGTGTTTTGCCGTCCTCGCTCGACAGCACCCTTCTGATCCGCCATATCATGCTGATATGAGTGAAAGAACAAAGAATGAGCCTGAAAAGCTGGATTAGTCCATGTTTTATCTAATGTCCTCTTTCACAATACGTTTAGGCTTCACGAGATGAAAGGAAGACAAAGAGATAAACAAAAAAAACAGCACAACCTGGGGAAGAGACGATGTATCATAAAACAGGGGCGGGAGCCATATTGACTGATAGAGAGTAAAAAAGAGGAAGTAGTTACAGAGGAAGCAGGACAGTAAAACATCCTCAAAGAGTATCACACAATTAAATCCTTCTTGGTGTTTTTCTCACACAGATATACACACCTATAGTCCCTTTTCGACAAAACACTTGAACTTAAACATGGAAAATAAAAAAGGTAATCCAAACGAGCTTCATTGGCCTCTTTAAAAATGTTCTAAGAGGTCTCTTTTTCTCTGGCCAATAGGAAAATCCTTCAAAAACAAGGATGATGGAGCAAGATTGCAATCTTTCTTGTTTAATGTAGGAGTATGACCAGGGGTGCACATCACTTTTTTGCCCTGGTTCTCAAAGGAGCACCTGGAGATGTTGCTTGGGGCTCATCCTTAAAATGAAATAAACCGTAACTTTTTAGGGGGTCTTGACTTTATTTGCCAGACACACGGCACTGAACACACATGCAGAGGTGAACACAGAACACACATGCAGAGGTGAACACAGAACACACATGCAGAGGTGAACACTGAACACACATGCAGAGGTGAACACAAGACAACATTAGCACGACCAGTAATCCTACAAGCTGTCATCACTACCCTCCTGACTGTTCTCCTCACTGTCTTCCTCTCTGTCAGACATGGTAGCTGATGATGTAGGCCTACTTCTTCCTCTCTGGTTGAGTCTGCGATTAGCTGCTTGCATCCACAAGTCAACAGCTGGGTTTGGGTTGAAAGTCTCTGTTGTCATCTTAGACAAGTGGATGTAATCAAATAAGTATGTGAACATAACCAATAACCTACCATAGCCAATAACAAATTAATGTAACTTATTTTATTTTTGTTGTTCATATCTTATTTTACCTTAACATTTATTTATGCATATTTTTTATCTTTCCAGTTTTAAAGGATATTTTTGGTTACTGTCCTATAGTATACATTGGAATGATTTCAAACCTGTTTATCCCAATAATTATAAAGGAGTGCCATGGAAATATGTGTTTACATAAATTGTGATCAAAACGTTTGAGACCCACTGAGATAACTTAGACTAAAGTGAACTATCTAAACACTCAGAGTCCTTACCTCACTGAGCTGTAGTATCAGCCACTCAGTCTGACTGGAGAGGACTCTCCCTCCACATTATTGTAGAAACATCTTCTTCTTATATCCGTTAGAGCAGCTAGCACCAGATGCTAATAACAATAGCGCCGGAACCGGTGCACCCTCCCTCGCTCACTCGCATTTTGGCTGTGAGCTGCGGGCGCCAGATAAGCCAACATCCCCCATTTTCATCACTTACAGCGCCCATTGTACAGGGCAAATGAAACGTGTAACCGGGGTGAAAAGGGTGTTACATTTACTTAATTATGAATATTGTTACATCAAGGCCGAAAATTAGGATGAGTACCAACGGTCAAAAATGTTTTTTTCCCTACGCAAATGCGCCTTTTTTCAAATAACCCGGCAGATATCACTGTAAAATCAATCGACAGTAAGGGGAATACTTACTTCCGGGTGTACAATTCTCCGTTATCCAATGAGAATGGACGCTCACATTGCCTTTAAGGGCAGCCGACACATTGATTGATTGATTGAAAAGTTTATTAACAGCTTGTATATTGGGTACAGTACAGTACAGCTCAAAACATACAATTGTTAAGGGGATGCAGACCAGAGAAAGACTTTCGTCTTGTTTACATCAGGGTCCCCCATTTCCAATTCATCATGTCATTTAAGACATATAAGACATATTTGACATACAGATGGCTTATTTACAATTTACATACAGGTGGTTTTTTTACATACAGATTGCTTATTTACAATTTTCATTTTAGATTTCGTTCTAATACATCCTAACCGGACATTTAAGACATACCAAGTCTACAGATATACAGTTAGTAACAGAGTCTAAAATGCGAGTATATACATAGATGGGGGGGGGGGAAGCTGTCCATTGAACGACAGGTTGAGATTTGTACCATTACCGGGGCCAGTTTTGCAATGCTCTCCCCCGAAGGTGCTCTTTAAGAGAGGTTTTGAAGGTAAGTATAGTTTTACTTTCCTTTACAGTTGTGGGAAGAGCATTCCACCTTGATGTGGCATAATTGCGAAACGTGTATTCCCCCTTTTTTGTGCCAAATCTGGGTTTCACATGATTTGTGGAGCTCCCTCTGGTGTTATGATCATGGTATTCCTTGACCTTTGGGAAGAATTTTGACATGTACATGGGTACCATAGAGGTGTACTGGATCTTGTAGACCAGGCCCATTGCAAGTAGCTGTACTCTGTCGTCTACTCTAAGCCATCCTAGGTTGTCAAAGTGGGCAGAGGTGAGGTGGGTTCTAGATGAAAGGTCAAGCAGTAGTCTGACCAGTTTATTTTTGCGATGTTTGAAGTTTTATTTTTAGCACCTTGGAGGT